TCAGTTTGTTTGGTTGGTTGTTTCAGTTTGTTTTGTTTTTGTTGTTGTTGTTGATTTTTCCCAAAGCAGGGTTTCTGTGTATCCTGTGTATCCCAAAACAGGACTTCTGTCTTGGCTTTATAGACCATGATGGCCTCGACGTCACAGTGATCTGCCTGCCTCTGCCTCCCTGAGTACGGAGATGAAAGGTGTGCACCGCCACACCTGGCTTGCAATGTGGTTTTTAAGATGAGTTTTTCTGTGCAGCCCTCTCTGCCGGGGTCCAGCCCAGTGAGGATAAGGCCTGAAGCAGGTGGGTGCAAGAGCAGATGCAGGGCACCTTTTAGTTTTTTACAAGAGACAGAGAGGAAGCCTTCTCGGTATAGCTTGATCTGCTCCGACAACCTGTGTCTCACAGGCTTTATTTATACACAAAACCGTTTTCCTCAGAGTCTTTAATCATTGATTACATAGCCTTTTAGAATTCTTTTTTTCTAAAATCTTCTTGATTGCATAAGCATATTAAAGTGAAAGAAATCAAGCAAACAACAAATTTCATGAGAACTAAATTTTAACATGATAAAATCAGTTTTCTTTTAACTCGTCTTGTTCCTTAAGATCAGGATCATAAAGCCTATTGGTTACAGAAATGCTAGACAGGATGACTCTGAGTTTGATTTTGTTTAAGTTTGACACAAAGTTAAGAGATCAGATATTATTTCCTACTTCCTGTTATATCAAGCTTCTCTTTCTACAGAAGCCCAACCTCTCAGTCCCTCGTTTAATTCTTCCTTTTCCTCTTCTATTTTTCTTTTATATTTGACATAGGACCACCATCCTTTCCTTCTATTCTTAAAATACTGTGCAGTCTTTCTAGCAGCACACAAACATTACTTAAGCAAAAGCAGCCTGTTCTTTGTTTTTCTACAATATCAGAAAAGTCCTGATTTGACAAGGCTGCTCAGGAAGGCAGGCAGTTCACTGAGCCAAAATGTCCCTCTCTGTGTCTTTGTCGTAAACCCTTGGTTCCATGTGATCCCTATCTTTATTACAGTCCTGTATAGGATAAAAGAACATCAAGATTTCTAGACTGCTTGCTTTACTGCCTCCAGGAAGGTACCAAGGTTTGTCACAGTCAAAATATTTTCCTGTCCATATTAGTTCCATGTTTCTAAAACTGGACATGAAAACCTAATGATTCAGTTATATTTTGTCAACTTCTAGAACTTCCCTAAATTTTTCAGAATCTGGTTTTTCTCAGATTCTGTTTCATGCTTACTGGCATCGCTTATTAATGATCTAAATGTATGTGTCTAAGTAATAGGTTCTATGGAAGAGTCAATTTTCTGCAAAGCTGTTTTTCCCAGAGAACTACCATTGGTTGTATTTTTATTGACACCAGCTTTTGTTACATTATCCCAGCTCTAGCTTTCAGTGAGAAGCCTTTAACAGTAAGGAATATAAATACCAGCAAAAGTTGTGTCCACTAAGGGCAATGAAGTCCAGATGGTCCAAGCACTGGAGCTTTGTCAAACAGCACCTTCAGGACTATTGGCATGGCTACCTGAAACTTGGGGTCATCCTGCCTCAGCCTCCAGTCACTGGGATTGCAGACAAACAGCACCTTGCCCCACTATTTGATTAAATTTCTGTAGATAATATAAGCTACTGAGCTTAAGAAAAACAAATCAGTATTTAGGCTGTATGAACTATTTTCAAGCAAGTGATGTTCTTTGTACTCCTGTAACATTTTTTATGTGTGTGTTTCTTAAGAACAAAGATAGGTCAAATTATTTGGTAGTGTAGTAACATCATCAGAATATCCAGTCTGTGTGTATAAAATTATCCTCAAATATGTGTACATTTTTAGATGTTGGAAGTTCTGGCCATACAGAAGGAAAAAACACCTGAGGCTCAGTGTCTCCTGACACTGTGTATGAGAAAGTTCCCCACATAATAGGAGAGAAATCATTTGTGCATTGTTGATTAGTTGGGTGTTCCTCGTTTAGCTCAGTTCTAATGCTACAAGGAGCAAGCATCACCTATCACTGGTTGAGGTCTTGGTCCTCAAATACTGTCTCCCCGGTTTGTTTTAACCTGTGTGCTGACTGACCAGGTACAAGTCAGTGTTCCTACTGTCTCCTCCTTAGGTTTAATCAGCCTTTGTTTAACCAACTCATAGAATTGAGGGAAATAGAGTTTCAGGTTTATAGCAGAGGGTAGAACTAAGGATACAGATGTGTCAGGCAGGGCCTATGGGCTCAGTTTCCAGCTTCCTCATGACACAGCACCATCCCAGAAATTCTACTTATTCAGCTATCTGGAAGTTCCAGTGTATGTTTTATGGAAACTTAATTGAATAGACAGGACTGAAATATGGACCTCAGACCACTTCTGTGTCCTCTACAGTCATAAGTATGCCTGGAGTTGAGGGGGTGGGTGGAATCCAGGTTTTTCAATTGGGTAAGCCAACTGTAGCTACTTATTTGTGGCAGCAGAGGTGCTGGCATTTGTCCGGGGGCACTGTCGCAAGGACTTAGGAACTGGGAGAATTTCAGGACATGGCAATGGGAAGCCTACAGCTGGTTGGTGGGAAACTAGGGCCCTCTTGCCCTTGAATGTAGAACAGGAACAGTGGTTTGAAATCCTAGAAATCATTCCTGTTGCTCAGGTAAACGGGTACAGCATTAGAGCATTGATAGGTTTTGGCTTTATTTTTCACTGTTGGTGTTCAAGCAGAGACGACCTGGCCATTGAGAAAGCAAAGGAGTGTAAGGCAGCAACACAGAAGACAGAGTCCAGGGTGACTATGTAGCCGAAGATGATCTTTAAGCAAATTAACCCAGTCTTAGAAAGGTGTTTTCTCTCATTTGTGGTTCCTAGATTTTATAGTCACATAAAATCGTGTTATGAATATAGAAAATTAAAGTAGAAGTGAAGTTGTTTAGAAATACAGGGACTAACAGTAGGGAGAAGAGGCAAGAAAGGGGGAATGAGTAATACTCCATTGTATAGATGTACCACAGTTTCTGCATCCATTCTTTAGTTGAGGGGCATCTGGGCTGTTTCCAGCTTCTGGCTATTACAAATAAAGCTGCTACAAACATGGTTGAGCAAATGTCCTTTTTGTGTACTTGAGCCTCTTTTGGGTATATGCCTAGGAGTGGTATGGCTGGATCTTGAGGAAGTGCTATTCCTAGTTGTCTGAGAAAGCGCCAGATTGATTTCCAGAGTGGTTGTATAAGTTTACATTCCCACCAGCAGTGGAGGAGGGTTCCCCTTTCTCCACAACCTCTCCAGCATGTGTTGTCACTTGAGTTTTTGATCTTGGCCATGAAGAAACTGTGGTACATCTATACGATGGAGTATTACTCAGCAATGAAAAATAACGAAATCATGAAATTTGCAGGTAAATGGTGGGACCTGGAAAGGATCATCCTGAGTGAGTTGTCCCAGAAGCAAAAAGACACACATGGTTTATACTCACTCATATAAACATACAACATAGAATAAACTCACTAAAATCTGTACATCTAAACAAACTAAGCAAGAGAGGACCCTAACTAAAATGTTCAATCCCCATCCTGAAAGGCAAAGAGGATGGACATCAGAAAAAAAAACAGGAAACAACCTCGGAACCTGCCACAGAGGGCCTCTGAAAGCCTCTGCCGTGCAGACTGTCAAAGCAGATGCTGAGCCTGGTGGCCAACTGTCGGGCAGAGTGAATGGAATTTTATGTAAGAAGTGGGAAATAGTAAGAACTGGAGAGGACAGGAACTCCACAAGGAGAACAACAGAACAAGAAAATTTGAACACAGGGAACTTCCCAGAGACTCGTACTCCAACCAAGGACTATCTGTGGAGATAACCTAGAACCCTGACAATGGAGCCACTTCTGATGAGAACTGATAGACTAAGATCAGAAAGAAGGAGAGGAGGACCTCCCCTATCAGTGGACTTGGGGAGGGGCATGCATGCAGAAAGGGGGAGGGTGGAACCGGGAGGGCAGGAGGAAGGGGCTTATGGGGGGATACAAAATGAATAAAGTGTAATTAATAAAAGTTAAATAAAAAATTAAAAAAAAAAAGGGGGAATGAGTAGTAGGACATGTACAATGTAAAGTATATACAAGGACAAATTTTTAAAAAGAAAGAAATCTGGAAGCTGGCACATCTCTGCAGTGTAGGCTTCACCCATTCTAGATAAAGTGTAGTCCTCTTCTGCCCAGAGGACAGCAATTAAGCAATTATGGTAAAGGTAGCACCTATTGAAATTGGTGCTACAGGTTTGTGTCACTTTCCTGTTCCCTGTGGGTCTCTTGACTGGATTCATAAAGACTCCTTCCTTTCATCCTACACCTACTCATGTTAGCACGTTTGTCCTCCCAAAATGCTGCCTTAGCCCTGTTAGCCAGTTCTCCATCCATAAACATGAGTGGTTTGCCTGCTCTCTGAAGTGTCCTCAGTACTGTCCTGATGTACTGCTTCAGTCCATGTGTGCTGAAGGTCCTGCTCAAGTCTTCTCTCCTTGTGCAGGCTCTGGAAGCAGGCGCTGTCACAGCCACTTCTCAATCCCTACTTGTCTGCCTTCCTGATGTATACTAAGAGTCAGAACTGTGTCTGGTGCATACATATGACCTTGAAGGTGCCTTTCCAGCTGGAGTACAAGCAGGCCCATGAGGCTGCCGTTTGGACATGAAGTAAGAAAGGCTTTATCCCCGTCCCTCACAGGCTGGCCCAGGAGCCAGTGCAACCTGGAGCTCTGCATCCGAGCTCAGTACTTCCAGCCTATCAGATGTTTGGGAGAGCGGCATACTTATGTCTGACATTTCTATGAAGTGTACAGTCACTGGTGCACACAGGAAGTGCCAGCTGTTGGCTGTGATAGTTCGCCATCTTTGTCTGGTTCTTTTTTATGCTGGTGTTAGGCTTTTGTATTTCTAAACTTAATCTAGTTAGGCTCCTTGGCTTTGTGTGCTCCAGTGCTTTGACCTTACAAATAAGCTAGTGATTTTTTTCCAGATGTCCAATATCACAGTCACCTACAGAGATGGCCGAGTGGCACAGCTGGAACAGGTGTACATTCGTGGCAGCAAGATCCGATTTCTGATATTGCCTGACATGTTGAAAAATGCACCTATGTTAAAGAGCATGAAAAATAAAAACCAAGGCTCAGGAGCCGGCCGAGGAAAAGCTGCTATCCTGAAGGCCCAAGGTAGGTACCCCTCTGGGGCTGGCTTTAGAATTCTACTTACCTTGTTTCTTTTAGGGAAGGCACTATTGTTGCTTGGGGACAGGGGTGAACCTGACTGCATCTCCTTGCTATTCTGTCCTGATCTGCCCGCAAGGCTTTAGGTCCTTGGTAATGGGGGCCTTTCCCTGTTTTCTTTCTTGCCTTACTTGATCCAATCACAGAATTTAGTGTAAAATCCCAAATTTGTCCTTGGCGGGGGTTGTAGGGGTGCAGATTTCTTAGGAAAGGTGTGGTGGCTCACACCTATAATCTTAGCACTCAAGAGCTGAGGCAGAAGGAATACAGTGAGTTGGAGCCAGCCTGAGCTACATAGCAAGACCCTGGAGAGACAAGTAGAGACCCAGTCTTGAGTGATGCAGTCTGTAGTGAAGGTCCTTCCTTTTCAGAAATTCTATCCAAGAGGGCTGGGCAAACTGGGTCTAGTGAGGATATGGATTGATAACCTGAAACAGTGTGCTGGCGTTTCCAGAACTGTGTGTGATTTCCCACCCCACACCCAAGATAAGTTTTTTTCCTGTTCTCTCAAGATAGAAAGGGTAACAACGAACCAAGGAAGCCACTGCACTCACATTGTCTTGATAAGCAAATGAGCTTATTAGGGTTGCCCAGGAGCATGTGTGCCCCTTGCAGATTCATGGGTGACTGTCGGGTGCTAGTTCATGAAGCTGCTTCACTGGACTTCCCCATCAGTTAACCATCCACTTTCTCTGTACTCACCTCCTCCCAAGACTGCAGTGGGGGCTGGATTGGGAGGGTAGGAGGGTGTGTCAGGAGGAATGAGTGAGTGGCTATGATCTGAGGTGAAGGTCTCCTGTGGCTTATCACAGCTGCTCTGATTCATGGTGTAAGCAGCCATGTCCTGTCTGGGAAGTGATGTTCCACAGCAGTAGTGCAGAGACTAAGTGGCGCTTCTAGTGCCCCATGTGTCCAGATAAACTAGAGCCTCGTGTGCCTAGGCTGGCCTCAGGCTCTGTGTACCTGACAACGACCTTGAACTTCTGGTGCTCTTGCCTTCTAGCTCCCAAGGGCTAGTGCCCACATGCCCAGTTTATGAACAAACTCACAAAAGTATCATCAGGCAAGCACTCTACCATCCCAGCCCTTTAGTTAGAGCCATCTTGTTGGTTGGTTGGTTGGTATTGGTTGTACAGGTTTTTTTGTTCTTTTAATTTTTGTTATTTTTTAAAATTGTGTGAATTAGCTTATTTGTGGGGTGGGGGACACAAGTGGAGATCAAAGGCCAACTTTTCAGACCAGTTCTCTCCTTCCACCATGGGGGTCCTCGGGATTGCACATAGGTCGGCAAGATTGGCAGCAACAACATTTACTTGCTGAACCATATTGCCAACCCTTGTTTTACCTTTTCTTTCTGTTTTGTTTTGTTGTTTTATTTTTGTTGTTTTGAGACACAGTTTCTCTATGTAGCCTTGGCTGTCCTGGAATTCACTCCTTAGACCAGGCTGGCCTTGAACTTACAGAGATCTGCCTGCCACTGCCTCCCAAGCGCTGGATCAAAGGTGTGTACCACCATTGCCTGGCTGTTTTATATTTTCTTAAGCTTGACATTAAATCCTACTTTGACACATACAGCAAGTGTAACCATGATGTCCCCCAGTGACTACTTAGCTGCTCTTGGAAGCTAGCCCAATTGTGGTCTGTAACTGCGTCCCTGAAAAGTTCTGCCTCGTTATTAGTTACAGAAGCATAGTCCTAAGCAACTACGTTGTTGTTTGGAAAAGGATTTGATGGTGTAAAAGGCCCTGAGTCCTCCATCATTATATTTAATGTGTGAGGTAACTTCTGTGTTTAAAGATAGAATAGTTTGTAGTTTTTGTTCTTTTGTTTTGTTAAGACTTCTGAAAAGGCTGATAAAATCTTGGGGCCATCGATGGCTTGGTGCTAAAGGTGATTGTTGCACAAGCCTTAGAGAAGTTGTCCTCTAACTTCTATATACACACAATACACATGCTATTAGAGAGAGAAAAAAAAATTTTCCCTTTACCTCTAAGAGGGCTGCACTTGCTGACCCATCTTCACCAGTCAAATTGCTGTGCACTTCAGGCAGTGACCTTGCCCAGACCCACTGACTGCTGCCTGAGCCACCTGTGCCTTTCCCAGCCCCTGGCTCTAGTCCCTATCAGCAAATGCTTACGTTCCCATCAGACTCCTCCCTCGGGACTGCTCCAGGCTCTGAAGGACAGAGAAGAATGAGACTGTTTTGTCAGTCCACAGAATCCTCCATGTGTCCTCTTGAGCCCCTAGCCTCCTAGGTACATTGCATCACAGAGTGGTAGTCATGTGCCTTTTTATGGGTAGTGTTTGCTATTAAGCATTTCTTTCATGCAGAAAGACTCAAAGAATAATAAAATTCCTTATCCAGAATTAACAGATGCTAACACTTAAGTATATGTATTTCAAGAGTTAAAAGTAAGTTGAGGGCCAGAGTGGTGTAGCTCAGTGGGTAAAGAACTTTACCACATAGTATGAGTACCTGAGTTTAGTCCGTGTGTGGTAGTACCTGTTTGTAATCTCAGGACTGACAAGATCAAGATAGATCACTGGGCTTCCTAGCCAGCGAGCCTAGCCTACTTGGCAAGCTCTAGGCCAGTGACAGACCTTGTCTCAAGAAACGAAGTAGTGGATGGTACATGAACAACATTTGAGGCTTTCCTGTGTCCTGTATATGTTCATGTACGCACAAGTACCTGACCCTACCCCTTCCCCCATACAAAGTGAATTGAATGCATCTGTAATGGCCTATTAGTCTCCGTAGCCCAGCCCTGAGAATTTGTCTTTTCTGTGTACTCAGACTGCTGTCAACATAACCTCCCACCCTGACACCAGGTTATCAGTGCCAACTTCCACCCCTCTTCCTCCCCCATCAGCACGTACAAGTAGTGGATCAGGTGTTGGTCCAGGTGGCCTTCCAGGTCCCATTCAGAGCTGATACCCAGGCTTCAGGTAGTGCTTACTGTGACCATCCCTGACCACATTGACCTCTCTCCTTCTTCCTTTCAGTGGCTGCAAGAGGAAGAGGACGTGGAATGGGGCGTGGAAACATCTTCCAGAAGCGGAGATAATTTTCTCTGTTGAAGGGAACTTTGTTCTTTTTGCTCTTAGGTTATGGCAGGGGTTTCTTTTGGGGGGGGTTACATGTGCGTATGTCCTAGGTTTTCTTTTGATATTTCTCTTTGTATCAGAGAAACTTAAGCTAAATAAAATGTGGCTGTTTTGTGGTTTGTGTATGTGAGGGGTTTTTTGTTTTGTTTTCAAGGAAGTAAGAACTGTGTGTTCATTTTGTAGTTTGCTTTGGCAGCAGGTTAGAATCTGACACATTAGAATTTGACTTGTGTTGGGTGAATGCCAGTACTTTTTAAATAGCATTTATTGATAAAGAGTTTGAGTGCTGTTCAGGCCAGTTTCTAGTTGAGCCAAAAAAAAAAAAAAAAAATTAAAAAAAAAGCTTAACTTAGAGAAGCTCTAGGAACTGTGTTATCTTTACATGTGCACATAATATGGCACTTTGCTCAGGTAACCTTTGTGGCGCACCATCAATCAGCTCAGCTCAGGTAACACTGGGTAACCCGGGCAACCCAACTTGTGAAGCTGTCTCGTACCTAATCTAGTAGTCTAGTGACCCTAGTGTCTCAGCATTTGAAGACAGTCTTTGAAGGCTAGTACTGGAAAGTAGTCCAGAGATTCCCAGGGGACCCATGTCTGCAGCTACTCTGCTGCCTCCACACAGGGCTGTGAGCATCTTGGCATTGATTAGCACACTGATTATTAAGAAAGGAAGGATAAGATATGCAAAATGAGTACTTAGCATAAACAGAAATTAGGAAAACGGCTTGAATCATTCAACTATTGGAAAGAAAGTGTTGTCAAAGGTTGATTCTGGGATGAGCTAACAGAAGTCCTCAAAATGGTCAGTTAATCATTTCTTTTGTTTTTTTTAATCTATGAGTACTCTGTTACGTACATAATGCATGCCAGAAGAGTACATCAGATTCCATTATAGATGGTTGTGAGCTACCATATGGTTGCTGGGAATTGAAATTAGGACCTCTGGAGCCAGAGCTTTTAACCTCTGAGCCATCTTTCCAGCCCCCTTTGTTTTTTTCTTGGATTTGCAGTACTCTTTGATGATATCCTTGGCCTAAGGGGTTTATTGTTGGGGTCAAGGGTGGCCATACTCTTTTACTAAACACCGGTAATCAAGCACTTTACAGACTTTTCAGTCAGTTTCATGTCAACTTTAATAGTTTGATTTGTTGCCTCCACTGACTTGACATGTATTGTCTCTCCTCAGGGTTGGATGCAAGCTTGAGCCTGCAGCATTAGCAGTCAGGCTTCACCCAGTAAGCCATCATGGATGCTCATAGTCACTAGCTACCTGTTTGGTGAAATGTTAACATCTTTACGCTCCAACAGCAGTGCTTTCTATCGTGAGCCGTGGCTGTGGGTCGCCAAGGTGGGAGTGAGAGGCAGCAAGACAGGTCCTCTATGTAGTCCTGCTTGCTTTGTAGACCAAGTGGCCTCAAATTCAGTAATGCACTTGCACCGGCTTCTTGAGAGCTGTGATTGAAGGCGTGTACCACCATGCCCAGCTGTACAGTTAGTGTTGGGATGGATGCCAACACACATAATGGGAGTCAGAAGACAACTTTTGGGGGTTAGTTCTTCCAGCCTCTTGGGAATCAACCTTAGCTTGTCAGGATTTACTTTTAAAATGGCGATTCTGCCCTTTTCCCTCTTTTTTTTTTTTTTTCTTCTGCTTTCAGCTGCTTGCTTTTTCCTCTCAAATGTGTCTGTGTGCTTATTCCTTGCCTCAGTTTATGCACTATCTTGGATCCCTTCCCCTGGCTGCTGTTTGTATTCCCTGTCACCTGTCTTTCTGACTATAATTCTGGTACTGCCATCCATATTCCTTCTTACAATATGACTGGTTAAATTATTATTGGTGAGCATAGATTGCTGAAGAACTTTCCGTAGGAGTAAAGATGCTCTTGCCTTTAGTTTCTGTGTGTCCCTAACTCAGATAAAGACCTTGTGCCATCGTCTGCTATCAGGTGACTTTATTTGTCCAGTCTGAGCTAGTTTGCATCATTGCTGACATCCCAATTTCTTGCGGTGCCCTTCCTCAGCTTAGCTCCTGTTTTCTATGTGTAGGTTCTTTCTCTTTGTTTATTAATTTGTATCAATAAGTGGTACGTGAAAAGTGATTTTTTTTTCCCCCAGACTGCCTGTCTAAGTTGGAACCGATTTTTCATTGTATTGAATGACAGAGGACAACTTTCAGGAGTTGGTTCTCTCCTACCACCAAGGGGTCCAGGGATCAAACTCTGGTAACTAGGCTTGTGGAGCAAGTTCTTTTACCTCTTGAGCTATCTCTTAAATTCACCAAAATTGACATTTGTTATTCTATGTTGTAAACAACCAGCCAGTGCTGTGCAATGGATAGAATAGAGTGGGACATCCTGGTCCAGAGGGTAGGAAAGGGAAGGAAGGAGTAGGAGAGCAGAGGTCAGCAGGAGGTCTTGGGACCAGATGAACCGGACCTAAGATATGACTAAAAGCAAATATAATGGGTGAAATCTGAATAGTAGGAAACTATGCGGTCTTGAAGGTTTAGGATGGCGTGACTATTGCCCAACATTATGCTCTAGGTTAATTAAATAAATCCTAGTCTCTGTGTGGTGATTTGGGTATACAGCCGGTTTAGGAATAACTGCTGCTTAACTAAAAAGTAAATCAATAATTAATAACCCACAACATGTTGGTAAAAGTTTTTTTTTAAAGTTCTGTTTACTGTTTTCCATTCTTAAAAGATGCTTATGAAATCACAATTTATCATATTTATATAGCTAAGTTTTGTTTTTTGTATATAGAAAGTTTGCTCAGAATTTTTAAAGGTTAAATGTTTTGTGTGTATGAGTGTTTTTCTTCCATGTGTGTAGGTATACTGTGTGAATGCTTCATGCCTATGGAGGTAAAAGAGGGCATCCAGTCTAAAACTGGAGTTAGAGATGGTTGTGAATCACCATTTGGGTTCTGGGAACCAAACCTGTATCCCCTTAAGAGCCACAAGTGCTAGTAACAGCTGAGCCATGTCAGAATTGGGAAGATGACTGAGACACTTCCGAAAAAAGAGGACCTGAATTCAAATATCCAGCATAAAAAGCTAGACATGGCCAGGTAAGTCTCTAACACCACATGTAGGGAACAGATAGGTTTGCTGGCTGCCAGCCTAGCACCAGGTTCAGTGAGAGTCCTTGTGTCAAGACAATATAAGGCAGAAAGCCATAAGCATAGCACACCTATACACACTGTCCATACTGCAAATACGTACATGCAGAGTCTATTAGTGTTGAAGACAATATGCAAGGAAGTGATTATATTTTATCTCTTATTTTTCAAGTATAAGATTACACTATTACATGTAGTTTATGTACATAAGTAACACCTTGAAATTAAATTATTTAATACTTGACTGACTTCAATAACTGCTGTGAAAAATAAAGAGGGTGTTGCATTTGAAAAACAAAAACAGACTAATAGCCGGTACCTGGGAAGGTCTTGCCTCATAAATCAGGAGCAATTAGCCTAGACAAGCATCATTGTGCACCTGCTTAGCAAGTCATAAAAACAAGACTTGAAAAAGTCAAATTGTTTTTCTAGGCCAATTATGAAGATCCCAGTCTAAACTGGGTGTGGTGACTCATGCCTGCAGCATCGAGATGAGTTCTAGGCCAGACTAGGGTACAGAACAGTTGCCAGGTCTGCTTGGGGTAGAATGAGACTCAACCTCAAAACCAAACAATTTTAAAATATATATAGCAGAATAAGACTCAAGAAGATGTTATAAGAATATAAAAATATTAGCATCCAGGTAAAATAAATAATGTCTGGCATCCATTCAAAAATTGGTGGCATGCAAAAGACGGAAAGTACAGTTATTAATGAGAAAAGCCAAAAGAAGTCCAAAGCCAATACAGATGTTACATTGGCATTAAAGGAATTGTTACAACTGCATCCTGTATATTCAAATAGTTAAATACAAGAGCTTGATAGATGGCTCAACAGTTAAGAGTGCAAAGAGGACCCAGGTTTAGTTTCCAGCATGTGGTGGCTCATAACCATTTGTAACTCCAGTTCCAGGCTATCCAACACCGTCTGCTGGTCTCCAGAGACACCATGCACATGGTACACAAGTTTCATACACATAAAATAAATTCAAATAAATATTAAGTAGAAACTTGAAAGTGATTAGAGAGGAGGAAGAAGAGTCCAGATTGAATCTCTGTGTGGGAATTAACATCAGGTTACTCATTTCACAAGGAAAGTTCAGTAAAAGCTGGACCTGCTAGCCCAGGCCTGTAATCCCAACTACTCAGGAGGCGGAAGCAAGATCAAAAGTTCTAAGACTGACTGAAAGCATCCTGTCTCTAGAAAGTAAGAGTAGTGGGTCATGCCTGTAATCCCAAAAATTGGGTAATAGAAGCTAAAAGAACAGGAATTCAAGGTCATCCTCCAATATACGGTGAGTTTAAGACCAATCTAGGTTACATAACTCCCCTCCCCCCCAAAAAAAAATCTTAAAAATGGATGGAACAAAGGTCTGGGGATACAACTCAATGGTAGAGGCTTGCCTAACATGCGTGGAGCCCTAGGTTCAATCCAGTACGAGTAAAGACAGGTTTTCTCTATGTAGCCTTGGCAGTCCTGGACTGAATTTGTAGACCAGACTCACAACTATCTGCCTGCCTCTGCCTCAGAGTGGTGGGGTTACAGACATGCACAACTGTGCCTGACTTGTGGGGTGGGGTATTAATAATTAAAGGAAAAAAGAATGGCAAGCAAGGGGGCTCTATGTAAAGATGATTTCTGCCAAGCTCATGATCTAAGTTCAATCCCCAGAACACATAGTGAAAAGAGAACCAACTCTACAATGATGTACTCTGATCTCCACATATGCACTCACTAGGAAAGCTGATGCAGAAAGATTGCGGTGAGTTCTAGGTCCAGCGTGAACTATGCAAGAAGATTGTATGTCAAGAAAGATGAGCAAAAGTGTTTGCCATGTACACCTGAAGTTTGATCCCTGGAAACGTATGATATACATACACACACACCCTCACAGATAAACATAGAAAGACATTATATCATCATTTTTTTTAGAGTATTTCTGTGTACATAATTTTTTAAAAGTGTGTTTACCATTTGTTTGGGTTTTTGTTTTTAAATGTGATCTTACTCTGTATCCCAGACTTGGCCTTGAACTTTTGGTGAAATTTAGACTTGTATTTAAGTTGTAGTTTTCCTGCCTTACCCTCCCAAGTGCTAGGATTACAGTCATGCCACCATGCTCTCCTCAGCTCAGAAATACTCTACATGTAAAAATATAAATAGTAGAAATAAGAAAATTAAAAAGTAAGCACCTCTAGCCTACCTCCATCTCCTAATGACACGGCCCATTCATGCAGGCCTGGGTCCCCACAATTCTTTCTTGTTGCCTTCCCTTCTGTCTAGCTGATCTCCATCCCTTTACAACCTCCACTGGCCAGCAGGACCACTCTGTATTGGGGATCCCACAGCTGTATATTTACTAAAGATCCAGAGTGGGTAACAGCAACCAAAAGAATAAAATACCCACCCAAAGGAAGATATCTAACCAAGAAACACTTCAAAACCATAAATCCAAATGCTTATATTCCAGTATAAAAACACAGGCATGAACAACCAAAACAATGCCTCTTCCAGAAGCCAACAACTTTTTTTGAAATAGGAACTGAAAACAATTTACCTGAAGCATAAGACAAGGACTTCAAAGCATCAATTATGGGTATGTTCAAGGACCTCAAAGAGAGTATGACTAAATGCCTTAGTGAAGATTATAAAACAAATGAATGAAATAATGAAAACAATTCAAAACATGAAAGTAAAATTTAATGAAATATAATCACTAAAGAAAACCCAAATTGAAACGAAACTGGAAATGGAATACTCAGGATGTCAAATGAAAACCTCAGATTAAGACATGAAAGAATCTCAAGTGTTAAAGATGTGGTAGAAGAAATGAATACCCCAGTCTAAAAAGAAAAGTGTTAATTCTAAACAAACCCAGGCACAAAACAGCCAGGAAATGTGAGACTATGAAAAGACCAAGTCTATGAATGATGGAAATAAATGAAGTCCAGGATGAATGCACAGAAAAGTATTTTAAACAAAATAATAGAAGAAAAGTTTCCCAATCTAAGTAAGATTATACAAGAAACAAACACCAAATAGGCATGACCAAAAGGGAAATTCCACATGACAAAGTAATCAAAACACTAAATGCACAAAACAAAGGGTATTAAAAGGCTGGGGGGGGGCGCAAAACATAAACAAGTCAAATATAAAGGCACACCCTTAGAATAACACCTGATTTTGCAATGGAGACTCTGAAGGAAATCTTTCAGATGTTTTAGAGGCTCTGAGAAACCATAGATACCAACCCAGACTACTATAACCATCAAAACTTATCAGTCATGTCCACCAATCCAGGTCTAGTGAAGGCACTAGAAGAACACTTCCATCTGAACAGAAGGATAACTACACAAAGACACAATGAATAAATAACCCCAGCAAAAGTAACAGGAATTGATAAACCCTGCTTATTAATAACGCAATATTAATGGTGTCAGTTCCCCAAGAAAAAGGCACAAACTAAAAGACGATATTTGATTACAAAATGGGATCCATCTTTCTGTTGCAACCAAGAAACATACCTCAAATCAAAACTAGACGCCAAATCAGGATGGAAAAGCAAATGGACCTAAGAAGCAAATGTAGCAATTTTAAGATGAAATACAATTTAAAGATGAAATACAAACAGCTGGGAATTTTTTAAAAATGTTCAACATCCTTAGCTTTCAGGGAAATGCAAATTAAAATTTCCTTGAGATTTTACCTTGGCTGATTAGAATGGCCAAGATCAATTAAAAAACAAAAATGACAGTACTTGCTGGCAAGGATTTTGGAAAAGGGAACAGTGATTCATTGATGGCAGGACTGCAAACTTATACAGCCACTATGGAAATCAGTGTGGTGGTTCTTTGGGAAGCTAGGAATTGATCTACCTTATGATCCAGCTATACTACTCTTGGGTGTATATCCAAAGGATCCTATATCTTTCTACAGAGATGCTTGCTCATCCATGCTTATTGCTCCTCTACTATAATTACCAGAAACTGGAAACAGCCTAGACGATCATTAATTGATGAATGAATAGTGAAAATTGCTACAATTACACTGTGGAATATTAGTCAGCTGTTAGGAAAAACGAAATTGTGAAATTTGCAGGTAGATGGATGAAACTACCAAAAAAAAAATCCTTTTAAGTGAGATAACTCACCTAAAAAGCAAATCTTGCATGTTTTCTCTTACTAATGGATTTTTACTCTTTAAGCTTTCAATATGTGTGCTTAACTCTGAATAATCACAGAGATTCGGTATATAGTAGTGGACCAGGGGGAAAAGGGCATCTTCTAAAGAAGGGGAAACAGTGTACATTGTTATAAAGAAATAAGGAGGACACTGTTATAGGAGGATTAAATGGGGCTAGGAATGAGAGGACAGGCTAAAAGAGAAAATAGGAGGGACAGCTAATATGAAAGACCTTTTAAAAAGTTTTATGGAAACCCATTATTGTAGAAGCTTCCTAAATATATTTACATCTATGAAAGGTATTTAAATGAAGTCACCATGTAATGGGGGAGACAATGCCCCAACTAGACATCTTAACTACAAATAAAACCTCCAGGGCAAGGAATGGATTGCATCTTGTTGAGCCACTGGCCAAAGGGGTCCCATAGCCCTGGGGGGTTGGGGGATTTACAGGCTATTGCCAAGGCTCTTGGTTACTCTTCACAACCTGACAGCAAGGCTGTGTTGTTGAAAATTCCACTTATGCCATTGAGCATGATAAAATCAAGATGGTGCCTAACTAGAAGCTTCAGCCCTAAAGATTAGCATTGATGGTATTGGAAGGTATTCTTCATGCTACCAGAGGGGAAAAATAATCAATATGACCCAGCTACAAACCTTTTGACCTACAACAATGACCTGCCTGTGAGATATACTGGTGCAGAAGTGGCACAGATGTTATAGGAGTAACCAACCTCTTTTTGCTTGGCCCACTCCATGCAATGAAATCCATATGTGACACAGCTCAAGTGGCCAAGAATCTTGGACTAGATAGACCATGAGCTCCAGGAGAAAACTTCCTACTGTTATTCTACTAAAGGAACATAAGCAATAAAGTGACTTCTCATGACATGTTATCGTGCCTGTAGATCAGTGCATTGTTCAACCTTCATCAGAGAACTCTCTTTTCAATGGATGGTGATTAACTCAGATTCACCACTGGACAATGTGCAGAAATTGAGAGACTTGAGAGCACTTAGTCTTAAGTGGGATGTCTTTGCCAACACCCTCCTCTCAGGGCTCAGGGTTCTGTACAGAAAAAGAGGCAGGAAATTACAGGTGCCAGAGGTGGTCAATGCCTCCGAGAAAACAGTGTCTTCCTGACGACTGATAAACACATTAACTCATAGAAACTATGATAGCATACATAAGACCAGCGCAGATTCAAATTCCTATCACTGAGAAGGGAGGTAGATTATAAAGTCCCAACCCTGACCAAGAAGTTATTTGCAGCTGATGCCTTCTGGGAAAAGGAAAAATCGGGTTTCTCCACTGATTTTAACATATCACTGAGTCTGTCAACCACTCCAGGACAGATTGCATGCTCAGGAGTAGTTGGCTACTACAAAACGGACTCCATTTTCTATGTGTGTTGGGGGTACCTTTTGTTTCATTTTGGTGTTTATCTTGCTGGGTTTTTGTTTGTTTTTAGAGGGGCAGAATAGAAGGTTGAATGTGTAGAGAGGCAGAGAATATCTGGGAGAAGCTGAGGAAGGGAAGGATATGACCAAAATATATTGTATGAAAAAAAGAACAAAATAAATATTGATGAAAAGGCGCTTGGGGGAGATGCCTTAGTGTTTAAGAGTGCGCTTTCAGAGAACCTGAGTTCAGTTCCCCAGAACCCATCTCTGGTGGGTTACAATCATCTGTAACTAAATCTCCAAGCGGTTCCAGTAACACACACACTTAAAAATAATAATAAATATTTAAAATAAAATGATAAAAAAGCACATATAGTATGTGTCTTAGGTTTTCTCTTGCTGCAATGAAACACCATGACTAAAGAAACTTGGGGAGGAAAGGGTTTATTTCAGCTTACAGTTAATGCAGTCCATCACTGAGGGAAGTCAGGGCAAGCACTCAATTAGAACAGGAATCTGGAGTCAGGAGCTGATGCAGAGACCATGGAGGAGTGCTGTTTACTGACTTGCTGCTCCTGGCTTGCTCAGCCTGCTTTCTTATAGAACCTAGGACCACCAGCCCAGGGATGGCACTACCCACAGTGCCCTGGGCCCTCCCATACCAATCACTAATTAACAATAATATACCACAGGCTTATGTATAGGCAAATCTGGTGGGTATATTATCTCAACTAATTCTTCCCAAATTACTCTAGCTTGCATCAACTTGACATAAAACCTCTCTATTAGTAATAATATAGCTATGATTATTAAGCATCATGTGACTAATTAATCTGAGTTAAACACATTTCAGAAGAAGGAATATCACCAGGATATAAGAGTCCTTTTCATGATGATAGCAGGAGAGTTAATTGAGGGTTCATAGCAGTCTTGAACATTTATGTTCCCAGTAAGAAATCTTCAGAAAACACAAAGCAAAAAATGGTAGAACATCAGTGAGAGACAAATTCACCATTATAGTCAGAGACTTCAGTGTTCCCTCTCAGCAGAAAAAAAAAAAACAACAAATAGGCAGAAAATCAGCAAGCGTAGTGTAGACTTAAACAATACTCTCAACCACTCTGACTTTGATTAATGCTTATTGATTACCCAACTGCAGTGGAATTCACATTCTTTACAAGCACATACAGTTATTGGCCATATAATGAGCTGTGAAACTAGCCAACAAATTCAAACAGTTCAGATCCACACTGCAATCTCAGACAATAGTGAAATCAAATTAAAAACCAGAAGGCAATCGAGATGGCTCAGCAGGTAAAGGCTCTTGCTGTGCCACCCTGGCATTCTGAGTTCAGATCCTGGAGTCCATGTAGATATGGAAGGAGAAAACTAAGTCATTAAAGTTGTCTTTTGACCTTCCCATGTGTGCCATGGAATGTGTTCCCACCCTCCTGTGTACACCATGATATTAATTATTAATGTTTTCAATCAATGACTATTAATGTTTTCATTCAACAACTATAAACAGGAAGACCCGAAATCCTGTACATTAATACCAAGACTGTGAAATTATATAAAGACCTTGAAAATCAGTGCAACACTTTCTTAAAGTGTTAGAGACATCTACCATGTGACCTAGGTTAGGATATGAACTGTAGCCTCTAAAGGTTGATATATTAGTGGCTTGATTCATAGCTGGTGGTGCAATATAGAGGTAACTAGATCACCCGTGTTTTAATCCACCGATGAGGTTAGAGTTGGGTGGGTTATTGGAAGAAGGTCACCCAAAGTCTATCCCCGCCCGCAATTTCTCTCTCTCTCCTAGTAGCCACAAGGTGAATGGCTTTGCTTGAACACTTTTAGCCTTTTTTTAGGCCCAAGAGTATAGGGCTGAAGGACCAAGTAAATGTGGATGGACACCCCTGGAATAATTCATGAACCAAAGTAAATTCTTTCTCTCCTAAGCTGTTTCTCATAGGTATTTCCTCAGAGCAATGAAAGACTAATTAACAGACTCATACCCAGGCGCTTACTCAAGAGAAAACGAAATGTTCATGCCACAACTAGTGCATGAATTTTCATAGCAGCTTTGTCTGTCATAGCCAGAACCTAGAAACTGGATATCCATCAACAGGTTCATGCATAAACTGGTACACCCATGAAATATTATTCTAAAAGCAATTCTTGATACATGCAATAATATAGATGTCTCAAAATAATTATGCTGTCTTTTTAGTTTTTAAAAACTATATAAAATAGTACATTTGTACAATCCCACGGACTGGTCTAAATCTAGCAAATGTAAATTGATCTATGGGAGCAGAACACAGACCCGTGGTTTCTGGGGGCGGAGGGGAGGGGTCAGCAGAGAACACAGCAAGCTTGGGGCTGACAGACACATTTACTACTGTGGTTTTTATGAATGTGTAAATCTGATAAAACTATGCTGCACACTTTAAGTTTGTCACAGTGTGTTTGCTTTATTATGTTGCAATTTTTATAGACGCTTACTACGTCGCAACAGCTGGCCTACGGGCATGTGCCACCACACCCAGCTCAGAACAACTTGGTTTTGTTTTAAATAATTTACTGTTTTAAAAAACAAAAAGTATGCAGTTGGGAAGAAAATACGGAAGGTTTTTGTTAGTGGAGATGACGGGAGTGGTGACAGCTGGCAACAATCTCCCAGGACAAGTGTGCTTTCCTTTCCACCCAGAGGAAACCGTGGTGCTTCAGGAACCAGTTGCCCATGATTCTGGATTCTCAGCAAGATTGTGCTGGACACAGTGACACAGGCCTGTCATTCCAGCACTCAGAAGGCAAAAGCAGGGTGATTGAAAAGTCAAGCCCAGGGCAGGCTCCATCTAAGAGTGTAGCTAAATAAGTAATAAAATGAATGAATGAATGAATGAATGAGTGAATGAATGAATAGAACATGGAGAGCTGGGATGCAGTGCTGTAAATAAAATACTTGCCTAATATGCTTCAGGCCCAGAGTCCAATTCTCAGTGCTAAGATAGATGATAGATAGATGATAGATAGATAGATAGATAGATAGATAGATAGATAGATAGATAGATAGGCATTTCAGCCTACCTCTTGCCAGACTTCACCACACAGAGAGCCTGGGTGAAGGACTCACCGACACTGGCATGCTGGCCTCATGTGACAGGTCCTTTTCAAGCCTCATTTCCTTCTTATCTCATGAGAACAAAGGGGATTTTTGTACCTAATTCCCTAATGGACCATGCTGCTAGGGAGTGAGGGGTCTGGACCCAGGTTGTATGCCTCTAGGTTGGCACGTGAGCAAGGTCCTACATGCTTTTTTCTCTCCTGGTCAGTGCTCTCTTAGCCACCGAGCTGAGTGAAGCGCTGCAGGCTTGAATAGCTCCCTCAGAATGCGCGCACTGAAAACCCAGAAGGCCTGACGTATGATTTAAAGAGTGATTAGGTTAGCAGGGCTCTTCCCTCTTGCATGGAAATCCTTGTTGCCCCTTTCATGCTCTCTAGCCACGTGACGGAGACAATGACACAGCAAGAAAGCCCTCGCCAGATGCACCTCTTCTGCTGACTTCCCAGCCTTCGGAACCATGAGCTAAGTGAACTTGTGTTGTTTATAACTGACCAGGATGTGGTGTTCTGGTACAGTAGCACACAGACAAGGCACAGCCCTCACTTCTGGAAATCTCTGTCCCTGCTCATGGAATCTCCGTCCTGGAGGTCATAAGAATTCCGTGAAGGGCCAGGACCACTTGCATAGCAGCAAAGCCAACTTTGCCCACATCTCCTAAAGCCGTCTCAGGATCTAGCTCAGCTGTTACGTCACTTGCCTCCTAAAGGTGGAGAAATCGAAGCCATCTGCTGCCATCTGGATTTGCCTGGAAGCTTCGGGGAGACACATGGGTCTGGTTCTCACATACCATCCCAGGAGGAGTCCTGCTGTGCAGTGATATCTGAAGGTTTGTGGGCTAGCTTCAGGCCAGCTGTGGGCAGAGGAAGGAGGGCAGGAGAGGCTCAGAGCTCTGCTTTTTTTACGGCAAGGAGTTACAGGGAGAACTCAGCCGCCTGAGCATGTGATGGGGTTATCAGTCTGCTGGGCCCAAAGCTGGCCCTCCCCTCTTTCCCTCTGCTGGTCCATGCTCCATCCTGCTTTGCCTCATTCCAGAAAGCCCCAACCCTTGTCATGAGTGGTTAAGGCAAAGAGAAAGTCCCACAACTTCTAAGCCAAGTCTCTAAAACAAGGGGGAGGGGGCCAGGTAGTAACTCAAGATGAAGCACTGGATGTCAGGAGCCAAGACAGCGAGTTCTGTTTAACAAGTAGGAGGAGTTGGGTCCCAGACCCAAAGAGATAGAGGACCCGGGCAGTCCCCCAGGAAGCACAGAGCCAAGCCAGAAGCCCTGTGCTCCTGATAAGCAGTTATCTAAGGCGGTGGAGAGTAAGGTGAACTCCTTTTCCTCACCTGCCCTCTTTCCCAGGCCTGGGACCTGATGTAATCCAGCTCTCTCCCTTCTTGGCCACCCTGGGCTGGGGATGTGCTGGACTTGGAGTTTCATGTGGTCTGGATGTGCTGTCCCTAGCCCACTTGGAACCAGACAGGGAGGTTGGGGGGTCAGAGCTGGTGGGCCGTGGGCACACGAGTCCAGGGTGACACCCGCTTTAGCTTGGCTCCGAGGCTTTCATCTGTCACTGGGTCTCTCCACTGTCACTGGGCCTTATGTCTTGACTCTACCCAGAGGCCTTAGGCCACTGGCTTCCCTATCCTGTGCTTCTCTGAGTCTCTTCCTCACTTGCCCTGCCTGTCTACTAGTTGGGCTAAATGGGGTAATGAGGGTGACCAGACATTAGGCTTCTAGTTGGAAGGCCATCTTGAGGAATTTTGGAAAGGAAGACAGTAACTCCCTATAGAGATACCGTTAGGTCAGTTCTGCCCTGAGAATTCCTGATGCTGTCTGGGCCCACCCTGCCCCCTTATATGCTGTGTGTAACCCCTGAACTAGAGGAAACACTGCATCTCTTCATCTTCAGCCAGATGCATCTCCTCGCCCTGCGAGATGTTCACTTCCCGTATCCCAGAAGCCTGGAGACTAGAGCTAGGGAAGATGGGCAGTGCTGTGTCCCTCAGATCTGCTGTGGCTTTGCCTTTAGTGAGCGAAGCTTTGTCCCAGCCCAGTGCACACTGAAGGGCCCTGATTGGGGGCTCCATGCAGAACTCTGCCTGGCTGTGACTCCCAAAACTCCCAAATGTATAGAGCTCAATCCCTGCTCTGAGGCCAGGTCTTCTCTAACTCCCGAGCCCACACCTTTGAACCCATGACCCCTACGTCTTGGTCTCTGTGGAGCTGAGTGAGCACTAAGGGACACCAGCATGGCTGTGGTCCACCCACTCTGGACAGGTGGGGTTTTTTTCCTACCTTTGCAACCGGCCTGGAGCTCAGTTGAGTTTGAAGTCTGTGGAACCTAAAACCTGAGGTGAGGGATACCATCCTTTCCTGGAAGGTCTGGGCTGTGGGCGCGGGGGCCCCTCTTACCAGGCAAGGTGGAGCCCCGAGCCTGGGCTGGCCGGCCTGCCTCCCACAAACCCTTCTCCTTCCACCCACTTCACTCCAAGTTGAGCATTTTTGCTGTCTCTCTGTAGGACATCGTAGGCCTCCAATACCTGGCTCTCAAAAGACCTCAGTCAGTAGCAATGAGCCAGATCAGCGGTACGTCACCTGGCACAACAACCCTGAGGCTCTGGTCCTGGCTCAGTGGCCGCAGAGCCCCAGGTGGAGACAGCAGCAGCGGTCTCAGCCATGCCACCCCCGGGCTCGAGGTCTGGGCCCTCGTAGATGGTAGGCAGCGAGGCGTGCTGACTCAGTCGCCGTCGCAGGCCAACTAACAGGGGCTGGGGAAGGGAGGACACATCCACATTGTTACCCAGATCCACCCAGGCCAGCACGGGGAACTTAGAGGGGTCCTTGATGGCCTCGGTGAGTTCACGGGCAGCAGCCCTGGTCAGTCGGTTGCCATTGAGCAGCAGCTGGGTGAGGCGGGGCAGAGCCCAGAGGCTGGGCAGCAGCAGGTGCAGCAGCTCATCGCTCAACTCCGTGAAGCTCAGGTCCAGAACCACCAGCTCAACGCCGTGGCTGCCCAGGTAGCGCGTGATGTGCTGCACATCTCGGGCTGAGAGCGGGATGCCAGAGAGGTCCACAGTCTCCCCTGCCAGCAGGGTCTTCTGGAGGCTGCTTTTGAGGCTACGGAGGGATGTGGGTGGGAGCACTGAACCAGGGAGGACCTCAGCTACCACACAGTTCACCCACCAAAGGCAACCTGGGTCCTCTGGCCTGGCTACGCCTAATTTAAAATGCCACTTCTGAGACTGGAGAGACGGCTCAGCAGTTGAGAGCACTTGCTGCTTTGGCAGAGGACCCAAGGTCAGCTCCTAGCACCCACATGATGACTTAAGAACTGTAACTGCAGTCCCAAGGAATTAACACCCTCTAGCCCTCTCCGGCACCAAGGACACACACGGTACACACACATGCATGCAAGGCAAATACTCATACACTTAAGAAATAAAAATAAATAAAATGTTAAGCCATTTTTAAAGTTGGTGGCCAAAGGCAATGCTGGAAATCTCTCTGAGTTCAGTTTCCCCTCTGGTGAAATAGGTTACATAGATGCATTAAGGCTCCATATGTGGACTCATTATTGTGGCTTTCCGCATCTGTTAATATTACTCATTTTCATGACAACCCGAGGGTGTATGGGATGGTCCACTCTATAAAGGAACTGAAAGAAGCGTGAAGGGTCTCCTGGCTGTATGTCACTGAGTGGGGACCAGGGCTCTAAATCACAGTACTCTGATCCCTGAACCTACACCCTTCCTCCTGTGCTCCTCTGGAAGTTGCATCCTTTAAGATAATGAAAAACTGCCATGAGCAGATATGGTGTCATTCTGGTCCTTTCAGTGTTTGGGACTAGAGGTGAGACAGGCAGCAGTGAAAGGGGAGGAAGGAAGTAGATACTGTGGGGGGGCTCCTTCTACAGGAGGCTGTGTTAAGCTGTGTTAAGCTGGAAGAGGCTTTTAGAGGCTAAGAAAGGCTCTTGCGGGGCTCCTGACCCACTCTCGCTTTCTCTCCTGTTCTTTATCCCCAACCTGATAGGGAACACAGGACTGCTTTGGTGGTAGGTTGTGAAGAGCAGTGAGAACATTGCTAGGGCTCCATCTGGTACAGGAGGAAGCAATCGCATGGGTCCTGGGCTCACCTAAGGTACAAGACTGAAACAGGGTGGGTGATAAACAGAGCTTGAGTCAGCTCCCAGGTGTGGTTCTAGGCCTTTGGGTACCAGAACTGATTCTGGGCTGACTGTGTCATGAGGCATACAGTGACCAAAGCAGGAGACCGTCAGCAGAGTAAGCTATGGAGAGGCTGTGGAAGTCTGTGCGTCAGGAAGTCTGGACTTGAACTCCCAAAAGGCTGCAGGAGAATCAGGGAAGGAATGACCTTAGGTAAGCTGCTTCCCACCTCCTAGCTTGGTGTTTTTCCCTGTGAAATGAGAGGTTCAGAATCTGCATCCTTATGAAGATTTTACCTAATGTACCTAGAGCCCAGTGAGGCACAGGCCCTAGAAAGGGACAGGGATGGAGGGACCAGTGAATGACAGATGTCACTGTCCTGGAAGAAATGAGAAGCAACTCACACCACACGGAGCAGGCAGCTTGGCTTAGGGGCATCTGCTGCTATTTGCCAGGGTGGCTGCCAGGGCTGGAGCCTTAATGTAGATGAAGGCAAAGGGACAACAAAGCGAGATCTTTGCACACTTAGCTCTCAGAGAAGGGATCCTGAGAGACAGAGTGCAAGGGCTGTGACGGGGCTCTCCTTACCTGCTCTGGGTTTTCCTGTGGGGCTTTCGCTTGGAGTGAGGAGTGAGGTGGTAGATGAGCTGCCGGCAGATCTTATCCGAGGACTTCCAGAGCTCATGGTCCTACGGCGGGGGGGGGGGGGGGGGGGGGGGGGGGTGGTGGGGGGGTGCCATGGTCAGGATAAGCCTGAGCCCCTTCCATTCTGTTCTGGCTGTAGCCTGGCATACGGCCATGAGAGGCTGCCTGCTGGGAGCTAGACAGGCTAGTCTGAGCCCCGCAGTGCCCGGTGGGAGGAAGCCCAGACAATGAGCCCTTGTTCCCTGTCCTCAGGCCTAAGGCCAGTAGCTCAAGCTATCAGCCGGCAGCTTGCCACCCTCAACACCCCCAGGGGACTTGCCACAAGGAGGAGGCCAGACCAGGCCCCTTGAGGGAGCCCTACTCCAGAGACGCCAGTCCCAGAGAATAGGAACAAGGTCAGCATGCTCTTCCTCTCATTGTTCAAGCTATGCCGTGCTGCGCCTGTGGGGCCTGGGTCTGGGCTGTCAGGGCTGGGGCTTGATGTTGACTGCACCACATGATTCTCTAAAGAGGCCCAGCCTGGGGCAAAACACAAGGTGTGCTTTCCAACACAGCCGCCACTGAACATGCTCCACTACCCAGAACATTCTTTCATACTGTTAGCAGCCCTCACCTCAGAGCATGCAACACAACACAGTGACAGCAGATTAGGTGGCCACGGGGATGACTGTGGACTAGCCAGTTGAATACAGATGTGGGCTTCAGAGCTGACAGAGCCTACAGTGGGCCCCCTTCTTTCATGTGTGTGTGGTGGTGGCGGGGAGGCCATTGTGTTCAAGATTCTTGGGGACTCGTGGCTCACCACAGAAATACAGGCCAGTACTGTGTGCATGTTCACGGTGGGGCATCTGCAAGTGTTGTCAGAACAGGGGTCGTACGCTCCAACTTAGCATGACGTAGGTTTTATTTGTGACTCAGGCAGCAGTGGAAGTGATTCAGTGACCAGGACCCTCAGCCTAGGGTGGCTCTGTTCTGACCCAGGAACAAGAGTATATGGTTCTGATAGTGGATGTGTGAAGACAGGCTGTGGAAGTGGCCATGGTGGCACACGCCTGTAATCCCAGTACTCAGAAAGGCAGAGGCAGGCAGATCTCTGTGAGTTCGAGGCCAACCTGGTCTACAAAGCGAGTCCAGGACAGCCAATGCTACACAGAGAAACCCTGTCTCAAAAACAAACTAAAACAAAACAAAACAAAACAAAAAAGGCAGGCTGTGTTCTGTGTCCCTATAGGTCTTCTGCACAGATTATGGGGTACACATGTCAGTGGGGAAACCTAAGAGCATGGTTTTGGGGATCAGCAAAACAGTTCACACACGCTCCTAAAGCTGAGGGATAGTGACTTGCCTAAGGCCGCATAGCAAGCAGAAGAACCCAGGTTCCAGGGCCTGTGCCTGCTGACCTCACCTTTTTGGGGCACTGCAGGTCCCGGGCCAGGTTCACCAGCAGGTCATGGGAGATGGGGTCCACCAGGTTAAGGAAAGTCACATTCCTGTAGAGGATGTCAGTGAGGAGGTTCCCTTCAAGGCCCAGGTCCTACGGGTGGTGAAGCAACAACCGAGTAAGCCTGGTAGTTAGGGCTCTCCTTCTCCAGGCCAGAGAGAAGGTGGCTCTCACTGGTTCCCATGCATCTGGTGCTCTTCCCAGGGTGTGCTGGGCTCTCTCAACATATGGTGACAGCCAAGTGGGAGGGCGGGGTGGGGAGGTGGCCTCAGGGGGTGATAATCAGGTTACTCAGACTGGTTGTTGGGTGTGACACTTACTCCTCTGATAACCTTGAATGCTGATGTTCCTAGCACTCCCTTTGGGTCCTTTGTCACCCTCTTATCCCTGAGGTTGCCTGAACTGGGCCGCCATCTTTTTGCCTCTGGGAGTGAGCCTTTTCCAGATCACATTCCCATAGGCAGATCAAACTCAGCCTGCTCATTTGCTGGCCTTATGTCCCTTGCCAGAGTGCAGTAGGGGTCCCCTCCCTGTCCACCTCTGTAGAAATCACCTAGCATCCTTTCCCTCTGTCCCCAGTTCTCCAAAGGAGTCTCTGTTCTCCCAGCACTGTTGCCAAGGTTCAGACCTCATCCCTTTGCTCAGGGCTCCTAGCCTTCCACAGTCATGCCTGGGATGCCAGGACCACTCTATGAAACACGTCTGACCTTTAGCTTTCATTCCACTGGTGGAACCCAAACACTAGAAGTTGTGCTATCAGAAACTTACAGAGCGTGCGAAGCCATGACTTCCTAGACTTGGCCGTCACACCCTTCCCAGCCTACCAGAACCTCTCTTCAACCAGAGCCTAGGGTCAGGCCCTAGCCTGGTACTGTTGCCTTCATCCCTTGGCCTTCTCCCGTCGACACCTATGGGTATGATGTGAGGCTGAATATCTTTGATTTAGGCTTTTTGGGTTTTGTTTTTGTTTCTCTTTGTTTTTCAAGCTAGGATCTCACTTTGTAGATCTGACTGGCCTGGAATTTGCTGTATACACCAGGCTGGCCTGGAACTCAGAGATCCACCTGCCTCTGCCTCCTGTACGGGGATTAAAACACACAAAGGGTGCTTTCAGAGTTCACACAGGCAACCTACAAGCATGCAGCCTCTATGTGCTGTCCCCTACCCCCTTAGCCAGATAAGGGTCTGCCCTATGCTAGCCTGAGCTCACAGGAAGCCAAGCCAGGCATAGGGACACAATAGGCTATGATCACAGAGTTCCTGCAGGTTATGAGGCTGGTCAGGTCCTAGAGATGCTTCAGATCTCAACTTCTGCAGTATGGGGGGGGGGGGAATTAGCTGCTTCCCTGAGGTTTGTTCCCTCCATGATGCTTTCAGAGAGAATGTAAGCCAAGTGCCCTGGGCTCCGCCATCCCAGATAGTGATCTGTATTTCTAGGCAGCACGCCTGGCTGGGGGATGCTTGGCCGTTGCTCTCCTGTTTGTATTTCCAATATGGTTCAAGCCACAGATGCCAGCCAGTGGGGGAGAATTCAGAAAGAAGGAGGCTTGTGAGTCTAGGCAGCCCCAGACAGAGCCCCAGACAGCAGCCTACCTTTCCCTGGCCTGGTCAGTGCCTCTTAAAGTCACAGCTCCACTTTTTCCAGAATGCTGAGTCTACAGAGAGGACACCCAGTGGTGGAGGAAGAGCAGGATTGGGAAGACCTCTCTCTCTCTCTCTGTCTCTGTCTCTCTCTCTAAACGCCTGGTTTATCCTGTTTCTTTTTCTTTTTTTCTTTCTTTCTTTCTTTTTTTTTTTTTTTTACAGTGCTGGGGACAGAGCTGAGTCCTCTCAAATGCTCTAACAGCGAGCTACACCCCTAGACTCCTCTCTCATTTTTCTGTTTGGATCCTGTCTCATCACTTCTCCTAGTGTCTCTAACTCTGAGCATCTACCTTCATGGTGGGAGCAGCAGCTACTGCAGGGGATGAGGAGGCTGAATAGGAAGTGATTTGCCCAGGGGTCGTGCTGGGACAGGCATCCCTGTCTCCTAGGGCAACTCAGGGCTCGGTATCGCTGATTTGTGTACCAAATGTGTCTCCCAAGGGCCCAGACGGGGCACTGCAATGGGCCCAATGGGTTCAAGCTGCCTGTTAGAGTAGGTGGTGCGTGCACTGTGGCTTTGTCTGGGCCGTCATGGTGTCTGTCTCCTGGCGCACCCGCAGACCATCTGGGCTGTGCCTCCCAGGACCCTTTCTGGTCCCCCAGCCTCCATCCGCTGCTTCCTTTCTTGCTGCAGGATGAGGAGCTGAGCTCTTCCCATTGTCCTTCAGCATGAGCTGCCCCTAACCCTCACCCACCCCAACTCTTGAAAGAGTCCAAATGCGGGCTCTTAGTTCCAGCCTGGTGGTCCCTCAACACACACACCACACCACACTTCAAATCCCAGTGCCCCAACATTGCCAGCCCCACCTTTGGCAAACGGTCCAACAGCCCCACCTGGCTCTCCCTCCAGACAAGAACCTTCAGGTCTGCAAAACCCACCGTGCACGCTGAATGGAACCCACCCATCCCCGAAGCCCGCCACCCACCCCCGCTCCTCCCCGACGCCCCCCAATCCCGGCCCGCCCCGCTCTTTTCTCTCGCCTGGCGCAGGAGTCGCAGCAGCTGCCTAGCGCGCTCCGGCCGCCGCTCGCGGAGCGTGGACTGGATCTCTCGCAGCCAGCGCACCCGGCGCTCGTAGGGCGCGGGCCCAGCGCCCGCCGCCTCGGGGGCATCTGGCCTTGCCCGCCGCCCCAGCCGCGCCCCCATGGCCGCCGCGGGCGGGCGGCCGCCGGGAGGGTGGAAGGGAGGCGGGCTAGCTGCGCCGCGCCCCGCCCGGGATGCGCGGGATGGGCAGCGGCGGGTCTGGCGGGTCTACGGCTGCGCGCCCAGGCACTGGTCGCCAGCGTGGAGTCCAGGGTCACTCCTCTCTGGCAGAGGTTTCTCTGTCGAGGGCCCCGCCCGCTTAGGACCTGGCATTAGAGCTCTTTCCGGGAGCCTCCAGGATTGAGAAGCTGAGGAGAACAAGGTGGCATTTGGCACCTCTCAATCTTGTGGCCCCAGTCAGTGCTGACTGGGGGGAATCGTCGTCTGACTGTAAAAAAAAAAAAAAAGTGCTTCAGGCAGGAGAGGGTGCTTTAGGCAATGCCAGCACCCACTTGCAGGAATCGCTCCTGCGAGCAAGTGTATCTGTCTTGTCCGTTCTGTGTGGGTGTTACCAGCCTTGGCAAAGCTCGAATGACACTTCCTGCCCGGCTTGGAGGGGAACAGAGGCAGGCCTGGGCAGGCTGAGCAGAGCCGGCTTCCTCTGACCCCCATGCCAGAGAGACGCACAGCCGAAGCCCAGCTCTGGGCAGCCTGGCACCAAGCCCTGCGTCCGTTTCCGGCTATGCTTTTCCTGCCTAACAAAAGGGGTCCTTGGCTCCTCTGAAGATCAAATTTGAGCTCAGGACTCTCTAGCTCTTACGGGGTTTCCCCAGCAGTCCCTGTGGGAAGCCTGTTCTGCCCGCTGCAGCTCCACCTGGTCCCAGTGCATAGGAGGGGGGGGCATTTGTGGCTCTGCACTCTAGCCTCCGCCACCCGGACCCCTAATCAGGGAACACGTGTCCAGCCTGAGTCTGGGATGCCTGGCCGGGCAAGTGTGCAAGCCTAGCAGAAGCATGTGAGGGGTAGACCTATCCCAGAGAGTTGAGCGAGGGATGCCTGACAGGATCCTTCCTTTGGGTCAAGCAGCGCTTGACCACAAACGAGGTGGAGGTGGCAGAGTGGCTGCCAGGCTTTGAGATCCCCTCGGGGCGGCCGAAGTCAGCAGAAGCTGTAATCGCTTGACCATTCACTGGTACCCCCTAACCACTTTTAAGCTGACTCCTGGGCCTCCTTTTTCCCCAACAGCCTCCCGTGCCCTTCTCTGCAGCAGTATTGTCCTAGTGCCACCTTGGCACGACAGGTTTCCTCCCTGGCAAACCTGCATGACTACCCAGCCTGCCCTCCCCCAGGGCCAAGGCTGTTTGCTGAATTGACGGTGTGTGAAAGCCAGAGCTTTTGAGCGGCAGTCCAAGTACCCAAGGGCCCTTCTAAGACCCCTTACCCAGAGCTGGAGGCCAGGTGAGTCCTCTTCCCCTCGTCCTCCCTTACACCCTCGGGACCGTGAGACAGATGTGGGAGCCTTCCAGAGTCTGACCATGTTGTTTCCGGAGGCTCAGCCAGAGTTAAGCATCATACCGTGGAGTATGAGAAGACGAAGGTGGGAGCCAAGGGAGAAGAGAAAGAGGGAGGGCTGGGCACCATACTAGAATGCAGTGAGCTGGGTACAAGCGGGCAGTGCCTAGGACTGAGACCTGCAGCAGATAGAGAACTGGCCCCAACTCTTCCCCTATGACCCTCCCTGGCCAAGGGATTCCTAGAGGACTTTTTCCAGGAAAAGAGGAAGTGTGATATCTGGACCCAGATCCCTGGGCAAGCTTCCTTTAGCTTGCTGTCTGGGTGTCTAGGTGAGTTGGCTCTTGGGCACTGTTTTTGGCTTAACCTGACTTGGACAAGAGTCCCCCGCCCCATAGAGCTGTCTCCTCTGGAGTAGGGATATCATTCTATCTCAACAGTCTACCCGTATACCAAGCTCAAGGCTGCTGGCCCTTCTCCCCGGAGCTGTGCTGGGCAGCAGGGTTTGTGACAGTTCCGTGGAGAGGCAGAGACTGATGCTGCCATCTCAATCTCCAGGAATGGTGTGGGGCATAGAGGGTTGTCCTGGGTCCTTCAGGGAGGACTTGTCATCCTGAGCCCACAGGGGTATAAAGATGGGAGGCAAAGAGTATGAGAGGGAGGATGCCATCAGACTCCGGGCCTTGATGGGGTCATACGAGGCCCTGAGTGGGCGCTGCCTGGAGGTCTTGGCAGCAGTTACACCCTGGTTGTTCTTACCCACATGGTAAGCCACTCACCAAGACGTGAGTGACCAGCAAGTAGGGTGGAGGGCTACAGGAGGGTATGAACTGAACCAGCTCTGTCATTGGGCTCTTTCACTCACCCAAAGAGAACACCCAAACCGGAAAGCCACCTCGAGGCTGTTATCTCAGCAAGTAACCAGGTGATCCCGAAATTCCTGGTAAGGGTGACAAAAGATACAATCTCTGCTGTTTGTTTGTTTGAGATAGAGTTTCACGTGTCCTAGGCTGGTCTCAGTTATGTGGCTGAGCCTGGCCTTGAACTCCTGACCTTCCTCTGAGATTGTGGGGCTGAACCACCACATCCGGCCAGAGGATGGTCTTGAAACCTTCACTAGAGAGAAAGGAGGCAGAGAGATGCTCTGTAGAGACGGCTTCTCTGAGCTTAGCCTCTCAGGATTGGGTCTTCTGCCCTCTGCACAGTTGCCACAGAGGAAAGGGAGACAACAGATGAGGACTGCTGTTCTTTGCTGAGTGTGTGGGCTAGACAAAGTAGGGAGAAATATCACTTTCCTGTGGTTGCTGACAGCCAACTGCCTCAAGTCCAGTGGCTTAAAACAGTACGTTCTGGTTATTGGGGGCCTGGAAACCAAATGTTAGCAGAGAGCCATGCCCTCTCCCCGTCCCCCAAGACTGTGGGGCCTGATCCTCCTTCGCCTCCTCTCCTTCTGAGCTTTTTGGGCAACGCTTGAGGCTGTTTGGCTTGTACTTGTGTCGCACTGACCTCAGCTTCCGTCTTCACGTGGCTGTCTTCCCCTTCCCCGTGCAACTGCTCAGACGGCCACCTTGTAAGACCACTAATTACTGCATTAAAGGCCTACCTTACTCGGGCGTGAGCTCATCTTAACTAATTATCTCGAGAAGCCTCTATTTCTAAATAAGGTCACACTCTGAGCTCCCTAGTGAGCATGAACTTGGTGGTGGGGAAAACAACACACCACAGAAACCTAGGCAAACCTCAGTTTCCTTGTCTGTAAAATGGCAAAGGCATTATAGGATTAGAGACATGAGTAAAAGGGTTTTGGCATAGCATGGTGTTGCATAAGCATGCCTTTATTTATTTATTTATTTATTTTGCATAATTAATCATTTGTGGCAGTTTTTTCTCCTTCTTGCGGTGCTGATATTTGAGCCTTGGGTCTTTTTGCTTGCTTGGCAATCATTCTACCCTCGAGCCATACCTTGCCCCTCTTGGTACCTTTATAATGAGCCTGTCTACCCATCCAACCCTCCCCAGCATCGATCCCTTCAGGAACAGTGACTGGGTGCTGTGGATGCTGCCCAGACTTTGGCAGGGGGAGTAAGGAGTGACAGCTTTGCCCTCAGAATTGGGAGCAAAGGCAGGTTTAGGAAGTTGAGGTGTCGGGGTAGGGAGTCTGAAGGAAGAATGTTTTAGGCCAAGGTAGTAGCTTGTAAAATGTCCTGGCAGGAGCATTGAGTGCAGACAGAGTGCAGGGCAGGCACCAGCAGGGCAAGAATTTCTCTGCAGGGCAAAGGGGGCCTTTGAAGGGTTTTCCAGTGGGAGAGGAAAGTGTTACAATTTACATGTTGAACATTGGAGTTCCATTAGGGAAACAGCAGCTTTGCAACCTATGACTGGGCGTCACCAGGTAATAGGAGTGGCCCTTGGGGGCTGGGGGGGGGGAGGGTGTTAGGTGTGGCCTGGAGGAAGTCACAAATAGTACCAGTTGGAAGGGACCAGTGAAGATGCAGGGATGGCCCTCTGAGGGGCTGGACTCTGGCTTCTGTGGCTGGGAGAGGTCTGAGGCAGGCAGTTGCTTAGCTCAGGTTTGGGCACGTTGACCTCAAACATCTGACACAGCTCAGACTTAGACTCGGTGGGCATAATATAAGAGTTCAGCATCTAAGAGGTAAGAGGAGCAGAGGAACGGCCATAAAGAGGAAGGGTAAGCTGAGCACGTGAGCACGGTGCGGAGGGAAGGGCTGGGCAGGTTGGGTACCAACAAAGTCCCAGAGGTTGTGGGTGAACAGGAGTGCCTTGAGGTCCAGGAGGCTGTGAGAGAGAATTGAGTTGGCTTTCCTGAAGACTATGGCATGTAATGGAGGTAGGGTGCGGGGAGGCGGGCAGGACATGGATAAGACAGGGCTTCTGTCCCAGCCCCCTGGGGATTCCAGACACCACAGATAATTACAAGGTGATACAATAAATGCCGCCCGAGCAGGGAAGCCAGGAGGGGCCACTTTGGGTCTCGGCTCGGAATTGTTCATCAGACAGAACAGAAGTGACTTCAAAGCTGAGTGTCAGAGCCAGGCTGAGGCTTTGAAGAGCTCCTGGGTCTCCTGAAGTCTGTCTCATTGGCTCTTCTAGTTCCCTGATCCTCTCTAGAGAGGAAACCGAGGCCAGAAAGGGAAAGGCCTCCCAGGTCCCCATACCAGCTCTCAACAGTTTCAGGTGTGAAACTGGGGACAACAGGGCCCATGTCTCTGTGACTCCACCGTTGAATTTTGGAGTTGGACTTGAGCCACCAGGCGCCAGGCTGGCCCTGTGGCTGAGTGCTCCGAGGCACTAGCAAGCTGACAATCCTGGAGGATCACACACCTGGCTACATGCAGGTTTCACTCACACCAAAGGTGAGTGCTGGAACGGGGGGACAGTGCCAAAAATGGAGGCTTGTAGCTTGCATGTGTATGTGTGTGCCTGTGTGTGTGTGTGTAGCACAGGAACTCTGCCCTTGCTGTGGTCAATCCGAGCATACCTCCTCCACACCAACTGGGTGACACTAGCCCATCACTTACAGAAGGCTCCATCTCATCAGTGTGGTCCTTGTGGTTGCGAGGGGCTATAACCAGGTAGGCCATCTGATCTGTGGCCTCCGATGACTGGATGATTACAAGAGTCTGAGAACAGACCCTTCAGAAACGAACTGACTCTTCCAGCCTGCAGAAGGCACCGCAAGAGGCAAGCTGGGGCTAGAG